CTACCTAGCATGACCGCTGTGTTCACAGATAAGCCTCCAGTAGGAAACTGTGACTCTGTGGGTCTGGGGTGGGCCCTGGGAGTCTGTTTTCACCCATCTTCCCAGGTGACCAGGAGCCAGACCTGGATGCCCTAGTTTTGTGCCCTTCAACAAGTACCTTCTCCCCAGAGCTGGGTTTTCTCCTTTGCAAAATAGCTAGCTACAGAGATTCAAGGACAGCATGTTGGTAAACCACCCAGCTGGGCCTCTGGCTCACAGCAAGCACCCAATGGCACCTACTGTTACCCCACATGGGTTATTTCCTCACCCCAGGAGGAGCTGGGAGGTGAAGACCTGCCAAGAGCATGTGAATGGGGAACCCCATGCCCAGGGCAGCAGTGTGGTGGCGGCCCACCCCCAGGGTGTGCAGGAGGTAAAATCCGGGAGCGGCTGGAGGGGGAGGTAAAGTGGGGAGGTGAAGGGGCCACAGGGAGGCTGCAGGGGAGTGGCAAGCCCCGAGTCTGATCTTCAGCGTGAGTAGCAGCTGGACAGCATTGGTGAAGGGCGTGGGAGTGGGCAGGCCCAGCAGGCTGAGGGCTCGGAAGAACAGGAGATAGGAGAAGGTCCAGGCCAGAGCCAGGGCGTGGCAGGAGCTGGGCAAAAGCAGGAGGTGCGTTGTGTTGGGCACAGAAGTCTCAACCTTGGCCACCCACTCCCCGAGTCCAGCCACCAATCCTCCCCCAACTCTCCCCATTCATTCAGAGACAGAAACACAGAAGGGCAGAGAGAGAGGACTGGAGGGTGGATGTAGGGATGGAATGAGTATGATTGAAATGGGGAGAAGAGGCTCAGCCACACAGAAACACACAGCAACAGAGAAGAACGAGGTTCAGAGAAGCTTCAGGTGAAGACTCTGCACTCCTCCGCTTTTTCTTTATTTCCAAGGTCCAGGGCTCAAGAAGAGGGGGGTGGATATGAATGAATCGCAACGGTGGCAGGGCCAGCAGACACACCATCCACCTCTCTCCATGACATGGATGTAGCGGACTGGGACAAACACACAGGGACCAGATGCAGAAGGCGGGGGAGGAAGAAAAGCAGATGAAGAGGCTGGGTATGGTGGCTCATGCCCGTAATTCCAGCACTTTGGGAGGCTGAGGCAGGCAGATCACAAGGTCAGGAGTTCGAAACCAGCCTGACCAACATGGAGAAACCCCATCTCTACTAAAAATACAAAATTAGCCAGGCATGGTGGTGCATGCCTGTAATCCCAGCTACTCGGGAGGCTGGGGCAAGAGAATCGCTTGAATCCGGGAGGTGGAGGTTGCAGTGAGCTGAGATCGCACCATTGAACTCCAGCCTGGGCAATAAGAGCGAAACTCCATCTCAAAAAAGAAAGAAAGAAAAAAAAAAACATGAAACAGAGAAGGGAGCTGATCAACAAGAGACAGCCAGACAGCCAGAGATGAGGCAGAAGCTGAAAAAGACCCAAAGAGGAAACAGGTTGCTTCCTCCTCTCCCCTCCTCTCCCTCTCCTCCCTCCACCAAATTCTCACCAGGGCTGGGCCTGAATGAGGGCCCAGGTCCCAAGGATGGTGATCAGAGAATGCAAAGTGTGGGGGCCACAGGTGAACAGGGTGAGCCCCAGGCCCACAGCAGCTGCCTCCCACCTCTTCAGCCCAAGACCTGCAGGGGAAAGGGACAGCATAAGCCTGGAACCTTCCAGAGGGTCCCCCCCTTTATTTTCCACTGCGGAGGGAGCCTGACTCACCGGCTTTCTTAAAGAGGAAGCCGATGGGGATGGAGATAAGAAGAACCACTAGATACGTCCATTCTTCAGGCGACATGGTCTGGGGGAGGGGCAGAGATTCACAGTGAGAACCCAGGAATCCAGGCCCCCTGCCTCCTCCCTCTTCCAGGATCCAGGAACCCAGCCCTCTAGACCCCAGTTTTTGAGGATGATGGAGTCCGAGACTCAGCTCCTCTCCTTTGAGAACCTAGGAACCCGGACTCCAGCCCCTTCCTCCTTGGAGACAGGAATCCACCCCCAGCCCCTCTCCTATGAGCGCACAGGCCTCCAGCTCTTCTCTCCTTTGAGAACCCAGGAAAGCGTGGGGATCTCATCCTCCAACTTAGTACATTTCAGGCCATCCAGCCATTCAGAAATTCCCACACCACAAGCTGTCACTAATAAAATGTCCCTGCAGAGTGCTTGGATTTAGACTTGAGCCTGTTCCATTCTCTAGAACAAGGTGACAGCACCCGCTGCCTGGAGGTCTTTGTGAAGATTAAATGCTAGGCTGTGCATCCTGTACTTCAGCACGTGAGAGGTGCTTCAAAAGCCGCAGCCCTCGAGAAAACGAAGGCTGTGCACTCACACCTGGGGCTGGGGCTGGGGCCCTGCTCTGGCAGCTGGCTTCCGTGAACCTCTGGCTCCCCTCTGTTTCCTCCTCGCTGAAGTGGCGGATAATATCTCACCCAAGAAGAACCTTTCTGAGGGTGGAATGAGAGTGTGCGTGGCAAGGCAGTTGGCCTGTGCCTGACACACCTACAGCCCAAGAACGGTCCCTTTGTCGGTCTGGCCTGTGATCCCAAACCACCTCCTCATCCACTGACTGACCGCTTTCTCCTCGGCCAGGGCATCCACATCTACTTTGACTACGAGAAGTGGGGCCAGCGGAAGAAGGAAGGCTTCACTCTTGAGTACCGCTACCTGGAGGACCGCGACCTCCAGTGACACCGGCCCTCCTCTACCCACCCCCTTCCCCTGCATGCTGATCCCCCTGCCCAGGTGAGGGCCCTGGCCCTGGAAGACTGGAGGGAGGCCCAGGCCACGGGGCATCCCTCCCAGGTCTCTAGAAAGGGAAACTGAGGCCCAGAGAGGGCCAGGGGGCTGCTCGTTGTGCTTTCTTGACCTGGAGGAGCATCAGATTTTAAAGACTGGGGAGGACCAAAGTCCACAGAAGGGAAGGCCAGAGACATGCCCATGGTGTCCCAGCACCAAGTGGCTTCTTCCAGAAGGCCTGAGAGCTGAGGCTGGGGCGTACTGGATGCAACAGGGCTTCCAGGCGGCAGCTCCCTCTATGGGAGAGGTTGGGGGAATGGCCTCCTAGGAGCTACCAGCTTTCTGACCTCACTCCTCTCCCCGCAGGCCTCCATCCCTGGACCAGCTTCGAGCTGGACGTCTTCGGAGGGAAGCAGCTGAGAGGGCTCGGGCAGATGCCCTGTTGGCCCAGGTCCAAGGCCGGGCACTACAGGAGGGTCAGCCGGAAGAAGAGACAGATGACTGGAGGTGGCGGTACAACTCCCAATTCAACCACCAGCTGGCCCAGCACCTCCACCAGCAGGACCCTCACTTTGCTCATTGACTCCTGAGGCGGGTACAGGAGAGGCCGCTGCTGCCAGCCATCATGTAAAACTATTTATTCATAAATATTTTCCAAAATGAAAATACATTTACCAAAAAATGTCCCTCACTGGGGAGGTGAGGAGGGGGCAGCCCTCGCCCCCGGGTCCCCAGGGTGGGGCTGAGAGGAAAACCTCCCGGCCCCCTCCCTGCTT